CGCTGCATCTGAGTCCTCGTACCCTGGGGTCAATGACCAGGTAGGTGCGGATGTTCATCTCCTTCAGGTAAGGGTCCCGCTGCTGCCCGTGCCCGTCCTCCACTTCGTACGCCTTGTCCAGGTGGTTCAGCGTCGCCTCCGTGATGTGCACCCGGCTGGGGGAGACCCAAGTCAGACAGAGCAGCAGGGCCCAGAGAGGGCTGGCACCCACCCAGGGATGCACAGCAGGCAGGACCAAGTGGACCCTGACCCCAGGCCAGCTCCACCCACTGTAAGGTCATTGATTCTGTCCCTTGCCTCCACACCGGACCCCAACTTAACCCCCCTTGGCCCAGAGTCAGCCTCTGACCCTGCCACCGCCCAGCCGAGCCTCACCCAGGAACCCCAGCTGCCTCCATCCTGTTGGCCAGGGACACGTCGTGGGACCAGACGTCGTACTGCCACTTGCGCAGCCCAATGACCCCGCAGAGCACATTCCCCGAGTGTATGCCCACACGCATGCTTATGTCCACACCCGTGGCCTCCCGCACCTGCCTGGAGCAGAACAGCCCAGTCACCCACTGCTGGGGCTGCTGGCAGCACAGCGCCCTAAAATACCATCAGGAGCATCTCCCCTGCCCAGCAGCCCTGGCTGGGCTTTGAAGGCTGCTGAGGTCTACAGAGGGGGCCCAGGTACCACCAAAGCCCAGCACAGACAAGGAACATGGGGACCAGCCCTCGGGGGCCTTCTGTGCTCCCCAGTCTCTGAGAAACAGGAGCCCTGGAGTCGCTGTCACTGGTACCACTCAGCACAAGGAGCCCCAAGTTAGAGCTTCACCAGGGCACAGGGCACCCCAGAAACATGAGCAAGGCCTCTAGGTCCCTCTGGTAAGTGGCTGAGGGACTCGGGAGCAGCCAGCACTGTGTGTCCACCAGCAGAGGTGGGACGGACCAAGCCTGCCATAGCCAAAACCAGAGGGAGCAAAGGGACCTGGGGTCTGAGGTCACAAAGGCAGTGGTGGGGAGCCAGGCTAGCACCGAGACCCGACTCTCTTTCCAGTGTGTTTTCCAGCAGCACCAGCCACTCCTGGTGCGATTTCAGGAGGAAGACTGAGCTGGAGTGGCGTTTACACCCAGGAGCCGCACCGTCAGGCTCCCCAGTCATGCCCTGCTCTGCCCCAAACACCGGTCAGTTTGGGCGAGCCCACCCGGCCCTCCACCACCCATCTGATCCCCATGGTGTGTTCTTCCCACAGACCACGGAGAACCTCGTGGGGAGCTGGATACTGGCAGGAAAGAGCTCGGGAAGCCGGGGGTCACCCTGAAGCCCAAGGGTCAGTCCCTGACTCCAGTCTTCATAGGGGAGCAGAAAGCAGATGGAGCCTTGCAGCTGGACCCTGATCTCAAAGGCCCTCCTGCTGCCTTCTCTGAAACCTCCTGAGTCCTTGGAGAGGATGGCGCCCAGCTGCCCTGTCCTCATATCACCCAGCTCTGGACTCAGAGACACTCTCTGAGACTTGGAGTCACAGGTGGACCCAGAGGGAGGGATGTAAACAGACTGGATTGGAATCCTCTGGCATGATGAGTGACCCAGGCAAGCCACATGCCCCCCGAGCCTCAGTTTCCTCATTGGTAAAATGGGCATGAGGCATTCCCCAATCCCTCCCTGGGAAGCAGGAAGGGTCTGTCGTGGGGCCAGGAGCCAGCACCCGCGCCTGCCCTGGACCTACTTAATGGCTTCGCACATGTCCAGCCCCATCTTCACACAGTTCCGGGCGTGCGTGGGCAGGGACACAGGCAAGCCTGACACACAGTAGTAGCAGTCGCCCAGGATCTTGATCCGCATGCACTCGTTAGCCTGCAGGGCCAGGGAGAGGCCTGGTCAGTGGAAGGCTTGGGGGTCTGGGGTCACACCCACCAGCCGCCTTTTCCGCCCTCCAGGGCGAGCTGTGCTCTTTCCTGGCCAGGCGCTTCCTGCTGGCTACCAGCCACCAGGAGCTGCTTCTGGGCCTGGTGAAAGAACTAGGGACACGGGGCTCTCCAAAAGGAACCTCCATCCAAGCATCAGGGCTGAAAACAAGTGTTAGTAAGGGCCTCTGGGGTGGGGCTGCCTTTTCATTTGTCCATGCAGGGTTTGTGCACCTACCGAGGCATTGGAACACGGCAGTGAACCAAACACAAAAGCCCCTGCAGCTGTGGAGCCTCCATGCTGGTGGGAGGGCTGCACGCTACCCTAGATAGAAAAAACCCACAGCATGCCCAGTGGTGAGAAGTGCCCAGAAGGAAGATGAGATCCGGGAGGGGAGAGGAAGCTCCCAGGAGGCCAGAGAGGTCACATTAGAGCAAAGACCTCAAGGAACTGGGAGACAAGTCACGCAGTGTCTGGAAGAAGATAAGAGCATTCCAGGCACGTGCAAAGACCCTGAGACCAGAAAGCTGTTCCAGACCTAGCAAGGCAGCCAGCGTGACTGAAGTGGAGTGAGTGGAAGGCACAAGGACAAAGGCAGCAGGTTCCATAAGCCGAGGGGTCAAGGTCACCCAAGAGATGGCTGGGCTGCCAGGGTTTGGGGAGTGGGGCAAGGGCAGAGAGGAAAGATGGGGGTGGAGAGGGAGGATCCAAGAAGGACCAGGATGGGGTCTGAGAGGAAACTGCCTGCAGGGGGAAGAGGGGCCCAGGAGGGCTGTCTGAGGTTCCACCTGGGGCGGCGCTGCAGCCGCAGGCCTTCCATAAGCCCACAGCAAGGG